TTCAAGATGGAGTCTCACTCTGTTGCCCAGGCTGGAGTGCAGTGGCATGATCTTTACTCACTGCAACCTCCACCTCCCAGGTTCAAGTGACTCTCCTGCCTCTGCCTTCTTAGCAGCTGGGATTACAGGTGCTCACCACCACACCCAGCCACAGGCTGTTCTTTCAAGACTTATTATATTGCTAGCATAGAGACAAATGCCTAGATTAATGAGACAGACAATAAGGAATCCTGAAACAGACCTGCACAAATACAACCAATTATGTTTTTACAAAGATGGAAAAGCAATTCAATGGAGGAAAGACAGATTTTGTAGCAAATGGGCTGGAGCAGCTGGACATCTACAGACAAAACCACCAAACAAAAAGAACCACAACCTAGGTCTCGCACCCTTTATGAAAATTAACTCAAAATGGATCGTAGATTTAAACTTAAAACTATAAAACTTTTAGAAAACATAAAGAAAATTTTGGGGATATGGAGCTGGGTCAGGAGGTTTTAGATTTGTCCCCAAAAATATGATCTATAAAAGGAAAAATTTTTAAATAGACTTCATCAGAATAAAAAACTTTTGCTCTGTAAGAGACCCTGTGAAGAGAATAAAAAGCCAAGCTAAACACTGAAAGAAAACATTTACAAAGTACACATTCAACAAAGAATTCGTTTCTATACTTTATAAAGAAATTTTCAAAACTTAACAGTTTCAAAAATAGAATGTAAACAAAAGACCTGAAGGTGCACTTGACTAGAGAGAATATACGGATGGCAAAGAAACCCATGGAAAGGTGTTCACGTCATTAGTCATCAGCGAAACGCACGTAAAAGCCGTGAAGTATCAGTACACACCTGTCAAGGCGGCTGAGATAAGATCATAGCGATCACCCTGAAGCCTGGTGAGGATGCATGGAAACGGGGCGGCTTCTGGAAAATGGCTTGACAGGTTTCAAAAAAAAAAAAAACAACTAAATCTGCAGCAGGCATAGACCCCTGCAATAGCATCCCTGGGCCTTTGTCCCAGAGAAATGAAAAGTGTTGTCCATGCAAAAACCTGTGCATGTGTCATAACCCAGATCTACAAACACAATGTCCTCCAACAGGTGAATGGTTAGACAGACGGTGGTGCCCCCATAGCACAGAACACTACTCAGAAGTAAAACGGAATAAACTATTGATAAATGCAACAATGGGATGAATCTCCAGAGAATGATGCTGCATGGGAAAAAAGCCAATCCCACGATTTTATGATTGCAGTAGATTGCATTCTTGAAATGAGCAGATTATGGTAGTGGAGAACAGGTCTGTCATCGCTGGGGTTGAGGCTGGGGCAAGCCGAGTGAAGATACACATGACCACTCTGTGCGACTTCTTACAACTCCATGGGAATCTACAATGTCTCGAGATTAAAAGTTTAATTTAAAAACCAAAATGAACATAAATGCTTTATTATTATTATTATTATTTGAGACAGACTCTCACTCTGTTGCCCAGGCTGGAATGCAGTGGTGCAATTTCGGCTCACCACAACCTCTGCCCCCTGGGTTAAAGGGATTCTCATGCCTCAGCCTTCCAAGTAGCCAGGATTACAGGTGCATGCCACCACACTCAGCTAATTTTTAAAAGTATTTTTAATAGAGATGGGATTTTGCCATGTTGGCCAGGCTGGTCTCAAACTTCTAAACCTCAGGTGATCCACCCACCTCAGCCTCCCAAAGTGCTGGGAGTACAGGTGTGAGCCACCACACCTGGCCACAAAATTTTTTTTTAAACACCTAGAGCCAAAGACTCAGCAACTCCACTCAGAAGCATAATTTCAACAGCTACATTCCCCCATATGACCCAGTAGGCGGGTTCAGTCGTTACTTAAAAATCTTGGAAATGCCTGAGGTGTCCATCAGAATAACAATGACTAAATAAAGGTTAATTTTATGTTTGATCTTCGCACACTTTCTTTTTTTAATTATTTTTTTAAGGGAAAAAAGA